GCCAGAAGTGAACCCTGACATCAAATCAGAGTTTGTGGTGGCCTAGGAACCCTGCCCCTCGCCCCAGCCCAGGGTGGCGTGAGCGTGGCCCCGCGCGGGAGGATCAGGCCTCCCAGTCCAGCATCCTTCTGGTGGTTTTTTTTGTTGTTTTTAAAATTTCAATTCCTACCATGGTTTTCTGAGCTCTCTGAACGAACTCTGCGGACTTGGGTTCCTGCCTCACACTTGGTTCGGCTCACACTCCCCGCCCCTTCCTCCCTCTCCCAACCTCATCTGTGACCCGCGCGGGTTCCTCCCGCCCACCTTCCCTTCCCAAGCTCCAAATATGTAGCAGTCTTTCCAGATGGTTGAGAGTGGAGACGAGGAAGCCGCCCCCCCTTCCGTTCTGCCGCCCTCCCCACCCTTTTCAGGTTTAAGTCAAAAATGTAGATGCCTCATTATGCACTTTACAGACAGGGGAGGGGGCCACAGAGAGGAGCGCCCCCCCCTGCAAACTCTGGCTCAAAAAACAACACAGCAGGGAGCCGTGGGAGGTCAGGTGCGCCCCAACCAGCTGGGACTGCTCCTCTTCAACACCTGTACCTCTCTTCTCTTCCTGGTCTCCTTTTCCATTTTCCTTTTCCTGGAAAAGAAAAGCTGTTTCAGGGGAGAGGCTGGCCGTAGCCTGCCTTGGGGTGCTGGCTGGGGTGGGGTACCCTTTCCTGCTGGGAAAGGAAAGGGAAGGAGGGAGGGAGGGGAAGAGACCCGCCCCAGCCTTCGCCATCCACACACTGTGTGATTTCCTCCAATGCCACCCTCCCACCCCACCCCGTTTTTCTGAGCTTGGGGTATTTATAGACGATTAATTTTCTGACTGAGCCAATAGTGGTTGGGAATCTCTTGAAAAAGTAGAGAGAGAAATGGCTGAGGGGGGTGGGCAGGGTAGATGCCCCCAGCCCTCCTTCCCCACCCAACCTGAGGGATCTGGGCCTGTGGACTGTGTTGGGGGGGCCCTCCTGCAGCTGGGAGGGGAGGAGGTGCTGAGCTGTGAATCCCCCGTAGGGGCAACGCTGTGTAGCATTAACCCCCTTGGGGGGGTTCGCTGCTGGTCTAATTTGGACCCT